AACATCCGGGGCTAAAGCCCCGGATGCCTACCCCAGGCGACGCCCCTGGTTGTTAGGTTGGAGGTGGGAATCATAGCCATAGAAGCCCGGCTCCGCATCTTAGAAAGTAACTCAGCTACAGTAAAGCCCATGTTAGCCGGTGCGGACCGGCAAAAGGTAGCTCCTATTAGCCGTCCCCCGGCAACTCCCGAGCAGCAGGGAGACTGGGTGACTGTTCAGAAGGGGCATAACGCGAAACCCGCAGGTCCCCACCAACCCGTTCACGTATCTAACAGATTTTCCCCACTCAGCGAGACACCCGCTGAGAAGCCAACTCTGGTTATTGGTAGCTCTATTCTGAGACACGTGAACTTAGAGACCGAAGCCTCCACAGTCACATGCATTCCGGGGGCCAGAGCGGGCGACGTTGAGGCGCATCTTAAACTGCTGGCTAAAAATAAACGTAAATACATTAGGATTGTTATTCACGTCGGTGGTAATGATGTTCGTTTACGCCAATCAGAATGCACCAAACTTAATGTGGAGTCGGTGTGTAGATATGCTAAAACAATGTCGGACACCGTAATCTTCTCTGGTCCCCTCCCCAATCTGATCAATGATGTATAGCCGCATGTCATCATTTCAGCGCTGGTTGTCTTGGTGGTGCCCAGCAAACAATGTGGGCTTCGTAAATAATTGGACAGCCTTCTGGGGAAAACCTGATCTGATTAAGAGAGACGGCATTCATCCTACTTTGGATGGTGCAGATCTCATTTCGGCAAACATTTCAGGGCTTTGTGGACTTAATCCATGACAAACTGGAGTTGAGACCAGGAGGCGGAGTCGCAGTCTTACACGCTTCTCTGCGCTCTCTCTTAAGGCCCTGTCACACTGTCCCGAAATTGACACCCGATGGACACACGATAAAGGAAATGTTCAAATTCGGCTGTGATCGTAGCAACATCGGGCCATTCGTGAGGGCATCTTAAGCCATCGTATGACCGCCGGTGGAGTTTCTCAGGCTCCGGCAGCAACTTAGTGAGCGGCAACTTCGTAAGGCACTCGTGAGGACATCTTGTCAAATCGTGTCATCTTCGTGTTATCATCGGTGCCATCGGGCATTCGCCCTCACTCTGATCGGGGCGAATGCCCGATGGCACCGATGATAACACGATGCCCTCACGATGGCCTTACGAAGGGCACAATTGACACACGAATTCAACACGAAAATGAACCTTCGCAAGGTCCTTCGGCAATTTTTTGGCATGCCAAAGATTTTGCCACCGCTCACGAAGTTGCTGCCGGAGCCTGAGAAACTCCACCGGCGGTCATACGATGGCTTAAGATGCCCTCACGAATGGCCCGATGTTGCTACGATCACAGCCGAATTTGAACATTTCCTTTATCGTGTGTCCATCGGGTTGTTTTATTGCACAACAAAATCATGTAAATATATTATGTAAATAACCCAATTTGTGTTCTGTGAAACTAAAAAGGATATAATATATTATTTTGATGGACAGTTGACAGGAAGTTGTTGTTGTTATGGAAACAACATTACGGAGAAAACGTAATATTTTCTACATATAACGACGGATAAAGTAAAGAACAAAGTCTGAAGATATCAGTACAGTATCATAGTACTGTAACACAATTGTTTTTGGTACTTTCATTGCAGTTGTATGTCTTAAATGTAATGTAAATGTTGCCTTCGTGTGTGGTTCGGGGCCATCATCGTGCGAAATTCACAATTCCATATTCGTGTGTCCATCGGGAGTCAATTTCGGGACAGTGTGACAGGGCCTTTAGGCAGTCATCCATAGGAATCCCGAACCCAATAAAATACCCAATATTAACGGTGTGTGTGTCTGCCCAAGGACAATTTAAGGTAAAACCTAATAGAGGTCTCATACATAATAATCTAATAAAAGTAAATGTAACAACTACTATAGTGCAACAAAACAGGAAGATTAAATGTGGTCTCTTAAACATAAGATCTCTAGCATCTAAAACAATATTGGTAAATGAATTAATATCAGATTATAATATTGATATATGCTGTCTCACTGAAACTTTGTTGAGACATGAAGAATATGTCAGCATAAATGAGGCCACTCCACCCAGCCATATCAATACTCATATTGCCCGAGGCGTGGGCCGAGGAGGTGGAGTTGCAGCAATCTTTGACTCAAGTTTACTTATCAATACTAAACTAAAATTAAATTATACCTCCTTTGAAAGTCTCGGTTTTAGTCTTACGCATCCGACCTGGAAAACTTTGCAGCCAATCTTATTTGTTACAGTGTATCGTGCACCAGGTCCTTATTCAGATTTCTTATCAGAATTCTCTGAGTTTTTATCAACTTTGGTTCTTAAAACAGATAAAGTAATTATCGTAGGTGACTTTAATATTCATGTTGACAATGATAAAAATAGCCTTACTGTTGCATTTAACTCTATATTAGATTCTGTTGGTTTTTGTCAGAGTGTAAATAAACCAACCCACTGCTATAATCACACTCTCAACCTTGTTCTGATTTATGGTATTGAAATTGAGCAACTATTAGTCGAACCGCATAATCCTGCTTTATCCGACCATTTCTTAGTAACTTTTGAAGTACTCTTACTAGACTACAAAGCATTAGTCAAAAGCTCCTGCAGCAGAAACCTATCTGTTAGTGCTATAGCCAAATTTAAGGAAGAGATTCCACCAATACTTAACTCGATAGCATGTCTGCATGTAAGGGAGAAAACGTATACAAAATGTACACCACCCCAAATTGATCATGTTGTTGATAGTGCTACAGATGCGCTGCGAATAAAATTAGACTCTGTTGCTCCTTTGAAAAAGAAGAAAATAAAACAACATAGATTAGCTCCATGGCATAATGCCGAAACCCGCAAAATAAAGCAAATGTCGAGACAACTTGAAAGGATATGGCGTTCGACTAAACTTGAAGAATCTCGTTTAATTTGGCATATTACTCTCAATGAATATAAGAAAGCACTGCTTAAAGCGAGAGCAGCCTACTACTCTTCATTAATAGATGAGAATAAGAATAATGCAAGATTTCTTTTCAGCACTGTAGCCAGGCTGACAGAGAGCCATCGCTCGATTGAGCCTTCTATTCCCATAGCACTCAGTAGTAATGATTTTATGTGCTTTTTTAACGATAAAATTGTTACTCTTAGAAACAAAATTAATGACCTCTTGCCTTTGACCAGTATAGTGTTATCAACAGCTCCCGGAAACGTAAGTTCTAATATTACACTAGATCAGGGGTGGGCAATTATTTTTTCCATGGGGCCACATGAGAAATAAAAAATATTGTGGAGGGCCGGCCAAAAGGCTGAACTCAATTCTGCATAATATTAAATTGTATTTCTTTATAAAAAGCAGTAAATAGCATTGTTTTGACAAGCTGGTAAGAGTATATGTTATAGTTGAGCAATGAAAAAGTGAGGTTGCCTTACAAAAAATGTAATTTATTCAATCAGGGTGTACCAAGAAGTCAGTCAAGTCGCTTCAGCTGATTCAAAATGCTGCGGCTCGTGTACTAACCAGAGTTGGGAAAAGGGACCACATTACTCCTGTTCTGGCTGCCTTACACTGGCTCCCTATAGAACACAGGATAGAATTTAAAATGATTCTTCTCGCCTACAAAGCCCTTAATGGGCAGGCGCCATCTTAAGAACTCATTATACCCTACTGTCCTACTAGGGCATTGCGTTCCAAGAATGCAGGGTTGTTGGTTGTTCCTAGAGTCTCTAAAAGTACAATGGGAGCCAGAGCCTTTTCTTATCAAGCTCCACATTTGTGGAATCAGCTTCCAGTTTGTGTTCGGGCGGCAGACACCCTATCCGTTTTTAAGAGTGCGCTTAAGACCTTCCTTTTTGATAAAGCTTATAGTTAGGGCTGATTAGATTCAGCCCCTAGTTTTGCTGATATAGGCTTAGTTTGTCAGGGGACATCTTATTTCTTCCTTCTCTCTGTCTATACCTGTGTACTCTCATGTTCCGATTAATCCAGCTTCCCGAAATGTCTTTCTTTTTGGTGTCTATATACGCCGGGATCCGGAGTCATGGATGATCCTGCGGTCCTTTGTCCTGGATCGCGAGCCCTGGATCTTGAGTCGTGGCTGTGGTCCTGGAGCATAGGTCCTGGATGGATATCCTCGTGGATTCATCTTCCTATTATACACACATGCATTTCCAAACATTTGGACTACTATGTTGCAAATGTATTATCTTTTCAATTTACACACGGCATCTATTGCACGTCTGTCCGTCCTGGGAGAGGGATCCCTCCTCTGTTGCTCTCCCTGAGGTTTCTCCCATTTTTCCATTTAAACTGTGGGTTTTCTCCGGAAGTTTTTCCTTGTACGATGTGAGGGTCTAAGGACAGAGGGTGTCATATTGTCATACTGATATTTTGTACAAACTGTGAAGTCCACTGAGACAAATGTAACATTTGTGATATTGGGCTATATAAATAAACATTGATTGATTGATTGATTGATTGATTGATTGAATACCTTTAGTTACTTCACAGATCTGGATGAATGATGTGAAATATAATCAAGTGTTGAATCAGACTTTAGTTCCACCTGGAGTAAATTCACAAGCTACCCTGCAGTATACAAAGTCATTCAAACTAGCTGCACCTTTACCAGCTTTGAGAACACTTGAATTATCAATAATTATAAAACATATCATATATATTATTCTGAAATGGACCAATCACAAAATGACTACTTTTACTTTTGATACTTTAAGTATATTTTCATGCTAATACTTTTGCACTTTTATTTGAGAAACATTTTGTTTGCAGGACTTTTACTTGTAACAGAGTATTCCTACACTGTGGTACTTTTTTTAAGTACAAGATCTGAGTACTTCTACTTTTAGAAGGGGGTATAACACGTAGAGTGCTGATTTGAAAAAGTTATAGAAATAAGTCTAACATTGCGTTAGTCGGGAAAGCCTGTATTTCCGACAGGCTTTGAAGGCAGCAGCGGTGCTCTTGCTGCGTTCAGGGCGCAGTGTCCCGTCAGGAGTCCGCAGAAAGACTCGCTGCTGCACACCGGAATTCAACACAACAATGGCGTCTCCCTGTCCGGAAAGCAACTCCAAACAGTCCAGCAGCACTGTGGGGTCCGCGTCGCCCCGCTTCCAGCAGCAGGGCCCGGATAGCAGCATGCAGGGTAGGCGGCATGGCCTTTATTCACACGGTTCTGTTTTCTTATTGCACTCTGGACTGAAGAGGAAAAGGTAGCTTAGTTTACCAGAAGAAGAACAAATCCATAGTCAAGTGGGATAGAATAATTAACCATTTCCTGTTCTAATTTTCAGAATAAGATCATCGTCGTTGTCCATATAACATGCTAATAAATCTGTCAAGTGTTTGAGATGATCATGTTATCGGTTTTAGAAAATGTAGCGGGATGTTTATAGATGAGCACTACTCATGGATCTGATATATGTCTGCATACTGTCTAGGTATTCAAGCTCTACTTTATACATTTCAGTGTCAACATAGTACATATAAAAACATTCAAAATCACTCTTTACAATTATTGTAAATAATTGTGGACTCTATACGCCCTTATTTTGAAGACCATATGGCTTTAGTTGCCGGTAAAGCTCCATCTTTCTTCGCCTAGCTTTCTATGGGTACACTGCTACCAGGTTAGCAAAGCTGATCTCATGAGCCCACTGACTTGTTGGGAGCTTTCTTTCAGTCTGACTCTGTTGTCATTGCGATAATACATCGATCACACGTGTTCCACGGCAAAGATGTATTCATTAATAAACATTCCCCGATATATTTAGCACCAGGCTGCCAAAAGTACCGTTAGCATAAGGCCTCCACATACATGTGTCTCTGAGAGCCAGGCCGCTGTCTCCGCTAAACACACGTTACAAACAAAGTACTTAACGTTAAATGACTAATTATTATGTTCACAACTTGTAAACGTTGTGAGTTTGCTTCAGTCCTCTGATCGTCACTGAGATACTTCTGTTTTAGTAACGCTAGCCTCAGTATTTCCGTATTTGGATAAGGTGAGAAAGTTATAAAGTGATGACATCAAATAAACCCACAACAACCTGCTGTACTGAAACAACATGTCTGCCTTCACCGTCACAGCTGTCTGAGGAACATCACACACGAGCTGCTAGCCTCATGGATTGATACAAACATGTGGCTACCCAAAAGTGTTTCATTAATTTACTTTAGATGAATTGTAGGGAGTTACATTTGTCTCAATATTATTTATGTGTAAAAAAACAAACGAAAACAGATGTATAATCTGCAGCAGTGTAAGAAGTACTTAGATCTTTTTACTTAAGTAAAAGTAGCAATACTACATTGTAAACATACTCTGTTACAAGTAAAATACCTTAATTCCAAATTGTAATAAAGTAAAAGTACATACGTTTTGGCATTAAAATATCAGTTAAGGATTCTGGGCTGCTGAGCCTCGAGCCATATCGGAAGTAAATGGCCAAGTGAAACAGGTTGATTTGTAAAATTCACAATCATCGATTTCGATCCACAAATACAGTGGTTTTTCATTCATTTGATGCAATCATAGATGTGTTTTTAATTTGTGGAATTTGTTTGTGTATTAGCAGATCCTTTTTTGAGATTTAAACCTTTTTTTTTTTTAAGTAGTCCTATACAACTCTTTTTTGAAAAACTGAATTTCCTCCTAGGGGGATCAATAAAGGCTCTTTTACATTTACAGATTACACATTATGCCCTGATTCCCAATCTGTTGCCACAAATAATACTGAGACAAATGTGCCTCCAAATAAATGATTTAAAGGTCACCTATCATGCTATTTTTAGGCAATAGCATAGGTCTCAGATATATAAAAAACATGTCACAGATCACCCATTCTATCTATGCCTCATATCCCTCTATTTCACTTCTTGTTTCAAAAGTGCTGATTTTTACGACGGAGTATTAGGGCCACACTTAAAAAAACAAAACAGAGATATCGAGAATAAAGTCGTAATAAAACGAGAATAAAGTCATAGTTACGAGAATAAAGTCGTAATGTTACGAGAATAAAGTCATAATTACAGATTAAAGTCGTAGTTTCATAAGTGACTTGAGAAGGAGACAACAGCGTCCTGCAATAAAATGAGGAATGTGGAGAATCTTGTGAAGCAGTAGCCTACTTTAGTTTAGGTTTCTCAAATAATGAAATACTTGATCTTTTGGCACATCAGCATCAGAGTATCATAAGTATTAGAACTTTGAAAAGGTTGTGCAAGAAACGATGTCTATTATTTAGAAGAAAGAACCAAACGGACTTGGAGGAGATTGTCTCCTTTCTGCCAGAGGAAATGGCTGGTTCTGGCCGACTACAAGGCTATCGTTGGTTACATCTACAAGCTGTTCAAAGGGGATTTGTTGTTTCACAAGAAACAATGAGACTTGTAATCAAGGCTTTGGATCCAGAAGAAGTCGAACTATAGCCTTGTAGTGGAATCGGAATGAGCTCCCCATTGAAATCAGGACAGCAGAAAGCCTACACATCTTCCGGTGCAGACTGAAAACTCATCTCTTTCGACTCCACTTCGAGCGATAGAACTATTAACAAAGCACTTATATACTAATAAAGGGCTGGCTTATCTAAAGCCAGTTGAGTAGCACTTGAAATGTTTTAGCTCTATGAAACCTGATGTACGTATATGATTCTGTTTTCTTCAAGTTTGTATTTTGTTGGTCGAACGCACTTATTGTAAGTCGCTTTGGATAAAAGCGTCAGCTAAATGCAATGTAATGTAATGTAGTCGGCCAGAACCAGCCATTCCCTCCTGCAGAAAGGAGACAATCTCCTCCAAATCCGCTTCTCAAGTCACTTATGAAACTACGACTTTAATCTCGTAATTATTACTTTATTCTCGTAACATTACGACTTTATTCTCGTAATATTACGACTTTATTCTCGTATTATTACGACTTTATTCTCGAAATCTCTCTGTTTTTTTTTTCTAAGTGTGGCCCTAATACTCCGTCGTAGATTTTAGGTATAAAGCTTTAAAAAATCAAAACAAATTGATAAAATAAAAAAAGAGGGGGCTGAGCTCATGTGGGACCCGGCAGCTACTGTCTAAACTAAATACTGCCGTGATGAAACGCCATATCATGGATTATCAAGGATTGTCTCTGAAACAGTATGGAGCTCTAAGGCTTTCTCTCTTGCCGGTTATACCACAAGGTGAGTTCCTTTTTACTTCCTGCTTCTTCACACACATGCTCTCCAGTACAGGTTAGCTCTGAGTGTTAGCGATGCTAATATAAACACCGACCATATTACGTCCAAAACAGTCGGCCATTGTTTCTGATAGCAACGTTTCTGATGGGGCCGTGAGTCCACATTTCAGATATTACGTCATATCGGACGCAAATCTGGATCAGCTCCGTTGTTCCCCGTTTTTAGAGATTTGGGTACGGAGGAAAAAAGAGAGGGTTTTATTTTCTGACGCTGCGTGAGTTCCTTGACACACCGGGGACACATATATGTATAAAATACATCACAAAGTGCATTTTGCATGATAGGTCCCCTTTAAGCAACATTTCTGTCTGCTGACGCGAACATATTAAGCAGCGTCCAGTGATGGCGGACTCTGCTTTCAAACCCTTGCTCATATTCAGGGTTAAGAGGGTTACTGATATCCAATACAATTGCTAGTTACCAGTAAAAAATGCAATCCGTAACATAATCTGAGTATCAAAATATAAAAGTAATCCTACCTGATACTTTCCGTTACTTTTGGATTTCCTCAATATTAAATATGCAAATAAAAGAAAAGGGAGAATAAATATCAATTCAATGTGTTTTACTTAAAGAGCCTGACAGCCTGCCAACAACTGTTGCGCAATGAAATATTGGGCTACTAGTCATCTCGAACCGTCAGTTTAAAAAAGAAGGTGCGATACCGTTCCGATAAATATCAATAATTTCGAACATCGCGAGGAAATTCCTTCGACTCATTTTGAAGTTTTGGGGGGAGACCCGGAAGTGACGTCAATGCGGGAACGCTTCACTGTGCGGCGAGAGAGCCAAACACGGACAAAGTGTGTTGTCATGCGTAGAAATGGTAAATTACTGAGTTTAGGCACGTTAATAACGTTTTAATGAAGTTGACTACAGTATATTCATATTTGTCAGTGCTTTCATGTCAATTCGGCGAACATAAACATAAATGATCGTGGTGAAGATGATGATTACATTAGGATTCAAAATCGGTAGTGAGAGCTGCTGAATTTCCTCCCGTCGGATGTGATGTAAAAACAAAGCGATTATTTTTGTAGTTGTAAACTCAAGTGGATGAAACTACATTTATTAGTGCTTTCATGTCAATTCGGCGAACATATGATACATTAAATGATCGTGAGGAGGATGATGATTAAAAATCGTTTGTTTGAGCCGGTCTGCATTTCCTGATGAAAAAACAAACCGATGCTTTTTGTAGTTGTAGTACACCAATATGGATTAAACGTGTGTTTTTTTTACCACAATGTTGGGGAAATTAATGGATAAAATGCACGGATTATGATTATTATTATTATTCCCACTCCGATCGGGACACTAGGTCCACCGTTTCCCCGCAGCGAGGCTCCCCCGTTGACAGTTTACGTGGGCTGGGCTGGGTGCAGTGGCGGACTGGCCATCGGGACGAATCCCGATGGGCCGGTACCGAAGTGGGCCGGTCGGATAAGTCACTAGCACATCCTCCACTCCCCCCCCGTTGACAACTTACTAGTGGTACCGAAGTGGGCCGGTCGAGAGTCCCGGGCTGATTTTTAGTCCCATTCCGCCACTGGCTACATGACCGTATGATCGCCCATATTGACACACCTAATTCCTAAACTTCGAACAGATACAACATAAAGCGATCCTTCAGCCTCATATGAGCTCTCAGACACGTTCAAAATTAAACTGTCATCGCTGTCTGAGCTTGCTGCTGTGTGCGCCATCGTGCGTTTACATGCAGATGCTGGGATCCTGAACGGTCCAGTTGGAGCGCTGTGCCCGCAATGACGTCACACATCATTTGGCGGGACTTGAAGAATCCCCAAGAAGATCCAGAATATGGTCAACATTGAAGGGCAGATTAATGGTTATCAAAGTACAAATATCCCAAATCAGTTAAGTAACGATTTCAAGGGGGCAATATTTACTCAAATTGATGGGTTTGGATGATGGGGGAAACTCGTGTCACAGGCTCTTTAAGTGTTTGATGTAAGACAACAGAACAATGTCACCATAAAAAAGAAAATACCAAGATATTCAGTATCATAAATTATTTTTTTCATAGGAAAATCTGCCTTTCATTAAGCATATTCAGGCAGTATCCTATACACCAAAGTTTGATGATAGAAATGTATAGTAGGGTCCCCATAAATTGTGCTAATTAAAACGTAAACATTAGTTAAAAATGGCGTAACCAATTTTGGAAAATGTTGGAGTGGTTTTGGGGGTTATTGGGTATGCTGAATGAATTTTTTCATTTTCAGGATGAAAAATTGCAGTTTTAACCAGAAAGTGGCCACTAGACTATTATGCTAAAAAAGGACGTAGGACAGCCAGTAGGGCAGACTGGTGTCCAGTAATGGACATGCTGGTGCTTGTGCTAGCTGCTGCTGGATTCCCATTGATGGTTGATGTTTAGCAGCAGTTCTCATGTTTCAATTTTCAACACATGTGAGATGTAACATTATTTCCTAATGTATGGCAGACTCTAGTATCACATGTTTTATCTCAACCTTACAGAAACCAACACCTGCTGGAGATGTCAAAATGAAACAGGTATACTATTCACACTTATTACACTGCCATTGGGATCATAAAGTGTTATTTCACTAGTGTTAATCAGATTTTGGGATTATTTTGTAGTTTACAGTTTGAATCTGCTGTTGGGATCATAATGTGTTATTTTACGAGTTTTAATCTGCTGTTGGCATTGGTATCTGTTATTTGTCTTTGGTGTTCTACTGGTTCATGGCATAGGGGCATACACTATATTTCTGTCATGTTTCTTTGGCAAATACCATTTCTGCATATGCCACTGCATGTTTATGCTATGTGTCACTTCTGAACATCTTGTATATTATGTCCTGCAGATTTAGTGGTGCTTTGATAAAAGGTCTTATTTAATTTGTGTAAGGTTAGAAGGGACATTAGTCAATAGCAGAGCATTGGCATGTATAGCAATCAAAGTGCACATGTCTCGAGAGTGGGAGATGCCAGTGGTGCAGGACCATATGTCAGACAGCAGTGAGGGAATGCTTTGAACAGGCATATGGCACCAAGACAAAAGTGGAAAACCATCAGCCACTTTCCACCCCAGGGTGATGTGAAACATTAAATATAAGTATCAGGTGGTCACAGAAGAGATTAAACAAAGTAATCAAAAAGCCTTAAAATTGAGGTGTATTATTTTTCCACTGGGATAAATGGAGCCACCATTGCCTGAATTAGAACCATAGACACGAGGTGCTTTTATTACATTACATATTACTCAAAGCAATTTGGGGTTTAGAGTCTTGCCCAAGGACACTTAGGCCCCGTCCACACGGAGACGAAACGGAGACAAAAACGAACCGAAGTCGATATCAAAAAAGTATTCCGTCCACACGGAATCGGCTCAAGACACGTGTCCGTCCACACGAGACCGCTCGACCCGCTGGAGACGCTGTAGTACATATGCCGGGCCTGTAAGTGGTTGCCATGGTTGCCTGGTTGCCCTTCTGGTTATTCTCCGTGGTGGATTTAGCAACATGTAGTCCATGTAGTTCTCCATGTCCAGTTGTTACTGATGGTTGTCGTAGAGAAGCTGTAGATTTTGCACTAACATCTGTATCATGGTCAATAGCGTCTGGAGCACGAACGCAACCCTGTGATCCGCCATTGTTGTGGGCGAAACTCATCAGTAGGGTTGGGTATCGTTTGAATTTCTACGATTCTGATTCCGATTCTACTTTTCGATTCCGGTTCTTAACGGTTCTCAATTCCGATTCTTTGAGGGGCAGGGTAAAAAAGTTATACATGCTCCTTCCACCAAAACAATTACATTTATTCGAGAAACTTTTACACAGGTTAGTTTACAGTAATATTCACATTAATCAGTCTGTTTATATTCACTGCTGTGTAACTGTAACCTGAGAACCACTGAAGCTACAACAGTCCAACTTTTAAAGAACAGTTCTTGTTGAGAAAAACAAGCATATCTGCCTTCTCAGGCAAACCTGGAAGAAATGTTTGAACATTTTGAAGTAAAATGCTTCAATCTGGTGCACTTTAAGCAGAATTACTAGAGACTAGATCTAGGGAGTACAACTCTAAACACCCATATGAAAAAGATCGGTTTACATTTTAATAATCAAATAAGTATGTGAACATAACCAGTAACCTACCATAGCCAATAACAAATAAATGTAACGTATTTTATTTTTGTTGTTCATTCATATCTTATTTTACTATTTTATTTATGCATATTTTTTTATCTCTCCAGTTTAAAACAATATGTCTGGTTTACTGTCCTATAGTATACATTGGAATAATTTCAAACCTGTTTTATCCCAATAATTATAAAGGAGTGCCTTGGAAATATGTGTTTACATAAATTGTGATCAAACCGTTTGAACTTAGACTAAAGTGAACTATCTAAACACTCAGTCCTTTACCTCACTGAGCTGTAGTTATCAGCCTCTCAGTCTGACTGGAGAGGACTCTCCCTCCACATCATTGTAGAAACATCTTCTTCTTCCGTTAGAGCAGCTAGCACCAGATGCTAATAACAACAGCGCCGGTACCGGTGCACCCTCCCTCTCTCCCTCGCTCGCTCCCACGCTCTCACTTTGGCTGTGAGCTGCGGGTGCCAGATAAGCCAACATCCCCCATTTTCATCACTTACAGCGCCCATCGTACAGGGCAAATGAAACGTGTAACTGGGATGAAAAGGGTGTTACATTTACTTAATTATGAATGTTGTTACATCAAGGCCGAAAATTAGGATGAGCCCCAACGGTCAAAAATGTTTTTTTCCCTCCCAGAGCTGTCAGCGCAGCGCCTCCACAGATCTGGCGCCCTAGGCCCTGGTCCCAGGTTACGCTGTAGGAAGTGTAGGTACAACGCTACATTTCCTGCCCCGCCGCAGTCATACAGTAGGCTACGGAGAGCGGCGAGAAACATTTCCGCAGGCATCGAAAAGCGGAACCGAAATTCACATTTCTAAATGATGCCGTTGGAATCGAAATGTTGGAACCGATTCTCGGTACCCAACCCTACTCATCAGCAATGACACAGGAGAGGTGGGGAGAGGCGGGGCTATGATCGTTTAGGGCGTACACACAGTGCCTCAAGCGTTACGTTGCCAGACCTTCCCACTTTGGGATGCGTTATCGTTTGAGGGCTCCGTTTCCGCGGTTCCGTTTACGGCCTCGTATGGACGAACCAATACGATAAAGAACTATAGCGGATAACACCCGTTTCGTCTCCATGTGGACGGAGCCTTAAACATGGTGTCAGGAGGTGAGAGTCAAACTGCTGAACTCCTCTCCCACTGACAGGTAAACAAGCCCTAAGAAATCCTGTTTTCTTGACTTCAGGGTTTCAGATAAGGGTTTCTGCAGTGTCCCAAAGTAAGCACACGACCTGTCTCTGTGTCGGAACTCCTCAGTGCTCTACAGTGGTTTCCTTCCTCACTAACTTTGACCGAGTTGTTTAGCAAGCCATTTTAACATTTAATCAGCGAGGCTTACTGGTTGAAAATAATCTTGAAATAACTAGATAAACTGTTGGATGGATCTGTTAAAAAAGTTCAACATTTTGCAAAGAAATGTCATATGTAGTAGTTGCATACATATCAACAAGTGGGCATTGTCAGGGTTAAGCCATTGGCCGTGTTCAAAAGGGCGACAACTACCTAATGAATGTTCCAAACATGCACATGTTTGGGGGAAGTTGCCTGCTGTTGAACAGGAAAACTTTTCTGTGGATGGACATGGTGGAGTTAGTTATTATTAAAATCCATTGGAAATGTTTTGCAATTGTAAACGGAGTCACCAACCCTTGCCTCGATCTATTTGCAACATTGAAATTCCTATCCATTACATTACATTACATTGCATTTAGCTGAGGCTTTTATCCAAAGCGACTTACAATAAGTGCGTTCGACCAACAAAATACAAACTTGAAGAAAACAGAATCATATAAGTACATCAGGTTTCATAGAGCAAAAACATTTCAAGTGCTACTCAACTGGCTTTAGGTAAGCCAGTCCTTTATTAGTATATAAGTGCTTTGTTAATAGTTCTATTGCTCGAAGTGGAGTCGAAAGAGATGAGTTTTCAGTCTGCGCCGGAAGGTGTGTAAGCTATCTGCTGTCCTGATGTCAATGGGGAGCTCATTCCACCATTTTGGAGCCAGGACAGCAAACCCACGTGTTTTTGCTGATGGGAACTTGGGTCCCCTTCGCAGCGAGGGTGCAGCGAGTCGTTTGGCTGATGCAGAGCGTAGTGCACGCGCTGGGGTGTACGGTTTAACCATGTCCTGGATGTACGAAGGGCCAGATCCATTCGCAGCATGGTAAGCAAGTACCAGTGTCTTGAAGTGGATTCTAGCAGTTACCGGAAGCCAGTGAAGGGAGCGGAGGAGCGGCGTGGTGTGGGAGAATTTAGGAAGGTTGAAGACCAGACGAGCCGCTGCATTCTGGATGAGCTGCAGAGGTCGGATGGCACATGCAGGTAGACCAGCCAGGAGGGAGTTGCAGTAGTCTAGGCGTGAGATGACGAGAGCCTGGACCAGAACCTGCGTCGCTTTCTGGGTCAGCTGGGGACGTATCTTCCTGATGTTGTAAAGCGTGTATCTGCAGCAGCGGGTTGTAGCAGCTGTTTGCAGTGAAGGACAGGTTGTTATCTAGTGTCACACCCAGATTCCTTGCAGTCTGAGTCGGGGAAACAACTGAGGTGCCGATGTTGATTGTTAGGTCAAGAGTGGGACAATCTTTTCCCGGAAGGAAAAGCAGCTCAGTCTTGTCAAGGTTGAGCTTGAGGTGATGAGCAGACATCCACTGAGAGATGTCAGCTAGACAAGCAGAGATGCGTGCGACGACCTGGGTCTCTGAGCGGGGAAAGGACAGAATTAATTGGGTGTCGTCAGCGTAGCAGTGGTAAGAAAAACCATGCGGGCTAATGACTGATCCGAGCGAGTTTGTGTACAAGGAGAAGAGGAGGGGACCAAGAACAGAGCCCTGAGGGACCCCTGTAGGACCCCTGTAGTTAATTGACAAGGGTCGGACTCCGACTCTCTCCAAGTTACCCTGTAGGTACGGTCTTTCAGGTATGAGGTGAGGAGGGAAAGTGCAGAGCCTGAAACTCCAAGTTCTTGGAGGGTGCGAAGGAGGATCTGATGGTTCACCGTGTCGAATGCAGCAGATAGGTCCAAAAGGATGATGACAGAGGAGAGGGAGGCTGCTTTACCAGTGTGCAGTTCCTCAGTGACAGCAAGGAGGGCAGTTTCTATGGAGTGACCTGCCTTGAAACCAGACTGGTGCGGATCCAGAAGGTTGTTCTGATGGAGATAACAGGAGAGTTGTTTAAAGACAGCGCGTTCAATTGTTTTAGACAGGAACAGGACTATCCAACGCAGAAACGACCGTTTCAGGAATCTTGGTAACTTCCCGTGTTATAGCATATTCATTTAGGATATGTTGCTCTCATTTGCATGTTAATTTGGGATATTTCATTAAAGGCATATACAATGACATTTGAACTGAACATTTATTTTTTGATATACTAAATTCGATTGTGACTAGTTAGAAAAGGAAATGTAAACATTATTATATTACTGTTTTTCGTCCGATTTCATTTTCACCTGTATCTATTGTATTTTAGATATCACTAAAAAGGTAATCTCATATGACATTCTTATGAGTTACTACTCCAAGCCGTGATGTCTATAATTTAATTATAGCTAGTCACAATTCAATTTTAAAGATCTATAATATGTTATATCTAAAATATGACTTCAATTGTAGATACCTAGTATTAACATTTAAACTAGTTAGAATATAATTGTTGACTTTTCTACTAGTTACAATTATTTTTATTGATATCAATCATACACATTTTAACTAGTGATCATTTAAATGTTTATCAATACGTTATCAATATTACAATACAGATAAGGTGTTGTAACTGAATTATAAATTAAGTCAATGGTAATAGGTAACCAGTTACAGAATCAAAGATATCAACAATGAACATTTCCACCAGTAAGAAATTAGTTGTTGATATTAAGAATTAATAATGCAACTTGTTAGAAATATAAAACACCTTAAATTGGAATTGCTACTAGTCAACATTACATTATGGTTATGTTGCCTTGCACTTGTAACCAGTCCCAGTCAGAATTTGATTTCTTCAATGGCTGTTTCAACTGCTGATTAACTTTTGATAAGATGTTAAATCGCTTGCTGTAGAGATGTGTTTCATATTTAATTGGACAAATACGTTTGAAGGAAGCCACTGTAAACTACTGAAGCCCCTGTGTGGTGCTCTGAAAGCGGTCCTTCCTGTACGCTGTCACCTGGCACAGACAGTCCGAGACGGATTCATCGTTATGGAGTGTTTGCACTCAGGAGCTGGTGGAACAGGGAATGGCAAAGACGACTCCACACTTAAACTCTCGTATGCATTAACAGCTGGCAGACACTGTGGACCTGTCTTCAATTAGAATCAAGTGCTTTCTAAGTGTTGGGTCACTTTGATATTTTTAGGGAACTTTTCAGTGTTTGGACAGGGATTTCCAATATTTGCCTCTATTTCAGCAACAACAATTCCAATAAGTTAATTAATTCTATATTTTGGATGAAAAAGTAGAAGGAACTGGTGCAGTTCGGGAGCATTGGGAATCCCTGCCCCCCTGACACCTTGCGTGTGTTTCCACTGATCTTGCGTGTGTTTCTACTGATCTTGAAATACCCCAAAGGTCAGGTCAAGCCTGGATCATGTTGATGCCATGTGCTGGCATGAATTTGTTAATATTGCTTATTGCACACCCGTAAAGGCTTATCTCACATGTGTTAGTCCCTGAGCTGAGCCACGTTGTGTGAAACTGTCGCAGTGTGTGTGCATGTTGTGGGATTCTGGATCGCTTTCTTCCCTTCTGCCTCCAGGTAAACGAAAAGCTCTGAAGCTGAATTTCGCCAACCCTCCAGTGAAAGCGGCCTCCAGGCTCCCGCTCCATCCAACCGCCCCCCCTTTCCAGAATCCTCACATGTAAGTTCCATCTGGGCCACTGTCTCTGAATTTTCTGCAGGTCTTAGAAACACCATTTTTTAGTAATGCAATTACAGATGGATTCAATAATGAAACAATGAAAACAAAGTAAAAGTTTACAAACCGAGCTTCTTCATTTTTCAGATCCCCATTCGTTTTCTAATCTTCTAAAACAGGGTTGTTAGCTTGTTGCTAACACGCCTGTTGCCAGGAATAGCAACAACAACCAATCACTTCTATTCCTGCTGATACAGCAACCTATTGAACCCTATATCTCACTTTTCCCTCTCCTGCTTCCTAATGTTTGCCAATGAGGACAGGAAGTGATCCGTAGCAACTTTCCTCATTTCCTCATACCCCCACTCCTATCAGAGGGTCCAATCACATAAGAAAGCTTGGATTAAAAAGGATCCAGTAGCTTCATATTCACTGATGAATCATGTCATATCCACAGTCACGACTCTCTCCCTTCCTGATAATCTTTCTTATGACACCTGGTCTCCTCCAGAGAGCGTCTACGCACACACAGCATCGAGTCATCTGGGAAACTGAAAATCTCTCCGGAGCACCACTGTGACTTTACAGCAGAGGACCTCAGGGACCTTGGGGAGATTGGGCGCGGAGCCTACGGTTCTGTCAACAAGATGGTACACAAACCCACGGAACAGATCATGGCTGTCAAGGTGAGACAAAGACAGACAGACAGAGAGAGGCGGAGAGAACATTATTTTCCAGAGGTCTGTCTGACGTGTGTGTGTGTGTGTGTGGTGTGTGTGTGTGTGTGTGTGTGTGTGTGTGTGTGTGTGTGTGTGTGGTGTGTGTGTGTGTGTGTGTGTGTGTGTGTGTGTGTGTGTGTGTGTGTGTGTGTGTGTGTGTGTGTGTGTGTGTGTGTGTGTGTGTGTGTGTGTGTGTGTGTGTGTGTGTGTGTGTGTGTGTGTGTGTGTGTGTGTGTGTGTGTGTGTGTGTGTGTGTGTGTGTGTGTGTGTGTGTGTGTGTGTGTGTGTGTGTGTGTGTGTGTGTGTGTGTGTGTGTGTGGTGTGTGTGTGTGTGTGTGTGTGTGTGTGTGTGTGTGTGTGTGTGTGTGTGTGTGTGTGTGTGTCAGAGGATCCGCTCCACGGTGGATGAGAAGGAGCAGAAGCAGCTGCTGATGGATCTGGACGTGGTGATGAGGAGCAGCGACTGTCCCTACATCGTCCAGTTCTACGGGGCCCTCTTCAGAGAGGTCAGTTGACCCAAGCAGCACTAATGTGGAGACCACCATCCTGACATCCTCTCAATAACCTCTGACTCTGTTTCAGGGCGACTGTTGGATTTGTATGGAACTTATGGCTACCTCATTAGACAAATTCTACAAATATGTATATTGTGCATTAGATGACGTCATTCCAGAGGAAATATTAGGCAAAATAACGTTAGCGGTGGGTAGACATCATTTTCCTCCTACTTATGATTTTACACCAAATATATGACGGGAACAGAAGTGACGTTTTTATTTTGTCTCTAACAGACCGTTAAAGCACTGAACCACTTGAAAGAAAATTTGAAAATTATTCACAGAGGTAAGTATTTTTGAAAGTACAAAGGTATTTAATGTCAGCACAATATTTTGGTCATTGTTAATATGAACACATTTCTATTTTTCCTTTCTGTCATGTTAAGACATCAAACCCTCCAACATTCTAATGGACCGGTCAGGAAACATCAAGCTGTGTGACTTCGGCATCAGCGGGCAGCTGGTGGACTCCATCGCCAAGACCCGAGACGCCGGCTGCAGGCCGTACATGGCGGTGAGACATTGCACCCATTATTATCTCTACCACATGTCAATTAACTCACGCTGTTAAAAAACAATAACGCTAACAAACCAAAGCGGCTTACATACACCTCAGTACCATAGACATGCCCCAATGCCTATTTGGGGCTAAGTATCTTGCCCAAGGTCGCCTCGACATGTGACTGCAGGGGATTGAACCGCTGACCATTTGCCTGTGCAGCCTCTGAGCCACAGTTGACCCCCCCTTTGTCACTAATGGTGCTTTTCCACTGCAGGACCAAGCACGGCTTAGTACGGTATGGTTAGGCCTTGGTAGGCCAGGCTCACTTAATGCTGCGTTTCCATTACAGTTTACCAACTGGGGTAGTAACTATAGTAACGCAGTGTAGGCGGGGCGATCGGCTGTTCGGCGGGCGGAGCGACGCTGCGTAAAACTGCAGTGACGTTATCTTCAGGAAATACATCCCCGGAGGAGCCGCGGAGGATCCATCGGTGTCTCCTCGGTTAGAGCTCCTCCAGAGAGCCTCCTCGATCCTCGAAGTGCATTTAGAGAAATGAGATGTCCTTCAACATGGCCCGCTGACATCTATGTCCGGGTCACTACCGGTAGAACGGGGAACGAGGAGGCAGAAATTAGATAAATGGGAAAGGCTCGTGATTTTTGGTTTTCTGATTCAACAATATCAGTATTTCAGTGATGACAGACGGAGGTTCTTACTGCTGATTGGCTTTGAATATCTCGCTCGACTATTTCCACTCTAGCAAATTTCTTGAGGTCAGCAAAAACACTGTGTGTGTGTGTGTGTGTGTGTGTGTGTGTGTGTGTGTGTGTGTGTGTGTGTGTGTGTGTGTGTGTGTGTGTGTGTGTTGTGTGTGTGTGTGTGTGTGTGTGTGTGTGTGTGTGTGTGTGTGTGTGTGTGTGTGTGTGTGTGTGTGTGTGTGTGTGTGTGTGTGTGTGTGTGGGTGTGTGTGTGTGTGTGTGTGTGTGTGTGTGTGTGTGTGTGTGTGTGTGTGTGTGTGTGTGTGTGTGTGTGTGTGTGGTGTGTGTGTGTGTGTGTGTGTGTGTGTGTGTGTGTGTGTGTGTGTGTGTGTGTGTGTGTGTGTGTGTGTGTGTGTGTGTGTGTGTGTGTGTGTGTGTGTGTGTGTGTGTGTGTGTGTGTGTGTGTGTGTGTTGTGTGTGTGTGTGTGTGTGTGTGTGTGTGTGTGTAGCCAGAGAGGATCGACCCCAGCGCGTCCCGGCAGGGCTACGATGTGCGCTCTGATGTGTGGAGCCTGGGGATCACTCTGGTAAGACAACAACGTTCCAGCTCCTATAGTCTTGTCTGTGATGGCAAAGCACGTTGAAACAGAACTGCTGCAGTGTGTGTTTGCTTTCAGTACGAGCTGGCCACGGGAAGGTTCCCCTACCCCAAGTGGAACAGTGTGTTCGATCAGCTGACACAGGTGGTGAAAGGGGAGCCCCCCCAGCTCAGCAGCTCAGAGGACAGGCAGTTCTCCCCTAAGTTCATCAACTTTGTTAACCTCAGGTGAGCAGTCAGTGTAGTGGTTCAGGCTCATCTGATGTGTGTGAAATACAATACTTTGAAACTGCTGACAGTCAAATCATTTGTGGTCTAGTTTGTCCAGCACTTTAAACCACATGCTCTTTAGGAGGAGCACCTAGTGTATGATTGACTGTGTTCTCTCTCTGTGCAGCCTCACAAAGGATGAATCCAAACGGCCGAAGTACAAGGAGCTTCTGGTGAGATCTTTACATTTAATTCATTCATTTCTAAGTTTCATGAGCACATGTTATGGAGCACTACATTCTCTGATTGTATTAACTACTAAAACCACTTCAGAGCCAGAGCATTTTAGGAAGTGAATTCATTCTAAAATAACTTAATTATGGAGATGTCTATACCAGTGGTTCTCATCTCATTATGCATATGGCTATATGAGGGGTCAAAATCCCATATATGCTCATATATTTTTTCTCTTCCTTCCCCACGCCCCAAAATAAATAAATATACCAATTTTAGGAAAAGTAAGGAAGTTTGAGCAGTGTAGGTTTTATATGAACAGAGTTACACATATTTCAAAACGCAAAGTGTAATAACTGCAGTGGCCTCCCTGTCAGAATGACAAAGATCCTCAGTGAAGCACAAGCCCATGATTCTCACTAAATTGTAAGTACAATTTATTAAAAAGACCAGGGGCCTCATGTATAACGCCGTGCGTAGGATTCACGTGGGACGGTTGCTTACGTAGTAGAAATCCCCAAAATAGGTACAGAAATGTTCCGCCACTTCCCGATTCACCAAACATTGCGTACCGGCGAGGAAAGTGCGTACAGCACTTCCTACGCCGGTTTCCCTTTATAAATCACAACCGACTCGAAATGCGGTGCAGCTTTTGCGGGCTTCACGTAACGCCCATACTTGCCTATAAATAGTCAAAGAAACGCCCATTCATTCATTCATTCTGACTGACTGCAAGAAGAAGATCGCAGGACATGACGACAGAACAGCTAAAAAAGACATCTCACACCGTGTCAGATGTTGGTTCTTTTGGGGAGGTGGAGATAAATCATATTGTTTGGTGGATGCAGTTTGAACCAGAGTAGCAGCATGGAGGTCGGATCGTCACCAAAATAAATAAATAAGTGGCCCGAAAAAGGTTCATGACAAAAACAATACACATAGCCTTCCTCAGGCAGTGTGTTTGTACCGGGGACAGGAGACCCCCCTTGATGAGAGACTGTAAGAAATGAACGGGGAATCCCTCCGGTGTGGAGTCATGACGACTAGATCTGAATTATGTTTTTGTATTTTGTGGTTTGTGTTCCAGCTGTCGATCAGCTGTGCGCAGCGTCTCCACTGCAGCCTGTGCGTCTCCTAATGTGTTGTGTTATATCAGCTGTACAATTGACCACATATGGTGTTCTTAGCTTCCGTACCTCCTATGTTTTACGAGCGACTTATCAAGTCTTAGCAAACGGCATAAAACACGATTAAACGTGATAGTATATAAAACCATGCTCGTATCTACAACCTATAGAAAAGCAAAACGGCGTCAGTTTAGATGTAATTCTGTCCTCCTGCTTACCGCATCATTTATGAGAAAACATTTCATAACATTAACACAACATATTCGAGGTGGTTTTAAATAACATATCCGTATTTATTTATTTCTCCAAGTTATGTTTTTGTGTGCACTGAGGAGTCTCAAACAGGCGTTTGTTTAATCATTTTAAGATTGGCTTTAATCAATGTTTGAAAATGAATTCTTCATATATGATAAATGAGAGGTAACATTTTATTTATGATATTATTTCCACACATTTCTCTCCATTCTTCCTTCTGCCAACGGTGTCGCAGTTTCTCGTCTCTCCCGTTTTTGTGCTTAGTGCGTACGCATGGGTTAGAGTTTGCGTGGAGGACCGCACGTTTTCCCGTCAAGTTAGTATTTTATAAATCGCAAACATTGCGTAGAAACTGGCGTACGCCATCTTTTGAGCGTATATCGCTTTATAAATGAGGCCCCAGTTCAATGCAACTAATGTCGTCTCAGTGTTATTGCATGATGTTGAACTTGGTTTGCCATGAATTTAGTGATGGATTGTAAACATTTGAAATGTAGCAGTTAAAGGTGGGGTAGGTAAGTTTGAGAAACCGGCCCGAGATACACTTTTTGTTATATTCCATGGAATGCTCTTAACATCCCGATAGCAATGAATATCTGAAGTGCTTTGACAACAAATCCATAACAAAATGTCATCTGTGGAAGCCGTAGTACTGTAAAAAGCACGACCAATCATCTGAGCCGGCTAAAGTAACTGGATGGCCTACCTGCCTGTCAGCCTTCCATCTGTGCACAAACTTATCTCGTGCCCTCATTGGTCATGTGCGCGTTCGTGTGTGTTGGAGGAGGGGCTCTGTAAGGAAGTGGCAGATTTGTTCCAGTTGTGTATTTTCAAATTCCAGCGCACTGGAGCTGGTTTCTCCAAAATGACCTACCCCACCTTTAAGTGTTTCTCAGTTACAAGGTTATTGTTTTAATAAATCAGACACTGATGGTGCAGCGCTGTACTGTACCTCTTTATATAGGCATTTCTTCCCTAACAAATAGTTTTTGCGCTGATCAGGGGGTACTTGGCTGCATTTTTTTTTCCGAAGGTGGTACATTATTGAAAAAAGTTGAAGAACCACTGCTCTATACCATACATTTTGTATTTTTCACTGTGTCAGTAGCTAAATAACATTTGGCTTAGAAACTAATGAAAGCAAGTCATACAAATATGTATACTAATATTGCCAAATGATATGTAAGCTTCCTTTTTAAAATGTGTGTTTATACTAAAAGTATGTAGAACAATGCTTCATATTCTCCTTGCTACCAGTTTAACGCAAGAAACGGGTTATCTCAGGAACAACAACCCTGACTTCCTGCTCAGCCTGAAGCTCTCTGTCTGTCCTCCAGAAACATCCCTTCATTCTGATGTACGAAGAGCGCTTTGTGGATGTCGCCAGTTACGTATGTCGCATCCTGGATCAGTTGCCCCCCTCTCCCCTCTCCCCCATGTTTGTGGACTGATGGAGGGAACACCGGAGCCCTCAGTGATTCAGAGGAACTGAGTCTCACCGCCTGAAGCTCAAACATCTTCACTCGTCTGCAGCTGGGAAAAATGAGATCATTTTTATGAAGGGAAACCGGAATAAAGCGCGTGTGTGAATGTACAAAATATGCAATCTGTGAGACAACATGTACATTGATCAAACCTAATGTCAGCCGCATCATTGTCACGTTTCAGTCAGAGCTCAGCTGAAACCCTTTACCACGATGATCATTACACTTTTCTGTGTTTAGTTATTAACAGAATTGCAGCTTCTGTCCTTCAGTCCGATAGATCATCCGATATTCTGTCTAATGCTCAGTAAAAAAACACTTATCTTCTTTCTTGTCTGCTGATTAAAAATGATTGAAAAAATGAATTCTGGTTAGGAAAACTGCAGTAAGTGAAGGACCCTCAGATCCAACCCTGTGTTTTCCAGAGATGGTCGGGGCTTTCCCTCTCAGAGGAACCGAGGCTCAGTGTTTCGGCGCTCCATGGACCGTTCCTTCCTCATGTACACTGATGTAAATAGAGCATTTCAATGTGCTGATCTGAGGCTCATTCCTGCACACATGAAACCAAAGGGTGCACAGTGACCGGCGTGTGTGTTTCAGCCTGACACTGCACAGTGAACCTCATCCACACTGATCACAGACAGAAGTGCTGCTAAAGGACTTAATGCCCACAGCAGAGGAGGCATGTGACTGCACTGATCACTGTTTCCCATAGCAAAGCAGGAAGCTTCATGTGAAGACACTCAAATTATTAACAATGCTACTTTTGCTTTATTCCCCCACTGTACGCTTTATTACTTTACATTACTTGGATTGCCGTACTTAAAGGGCCCCTGCGGCCGTTGTAGTGTTGTATGTTCATGAAGTTGGGAGTCCTGCAGAAGAAAGAATGGCCTGGGGCTGAGATGTCCTGATCTTCAAAACGAAAAGGAAAAGCCCTGATGTCATCATCTTCCAAAGCCACAGCAGCAGTGATGACCAGCTGGTGATCTGACTACATTTCTGTCAAACTGGTTGACTTAGACATACAGATGTCGGCCATGCCATGTTGGAGACGGCCCCTGCTCTCGGGATGAGTCTGGAGTTCAGTGTTCTCTCGTTGAAAACACACTTTGAGTATTTGAGTCTTTTAAGCAGACAAAGAGAAACACCACCATGTGGAGCGTGGCGAACATCTGTCTCCTCTCGAGGGACACATCTCCAGGAAGCACATCTATCAACCTCCAGGATACTGGTTGTATACATTGCAATTGACTAGAATGTTCATATTACATTAGAAGATTTAGGTAATTGAATATAATATTGTATCTTTATCAAGGGTTACAAATAAAGTTCCCATGGAAAGTATTGAAAAATATTGGAAACCTTTATTGTGTGCTTCTTGTGAATTAGACACAAATAAAAAAGATGACTTGTGAAAAGTGTATTGCTCTTTCTGAAGTATACAGGAATGCTGGCAAATACAGTTTTTTTTCCTTTTACAAAAGTAAAGCACGTCAGTGGCCAAGCAACATGGAAGCTTCTGTCCTGATGAGGGGAACAAATGAAATGAAAAAAGACAGCAGGTATTTTCACAACCGGAGACAGGAAGTAGAGAATATTTGCTTTTCTCAAATATTTAAGATGGCCATTCAGAGCCTACATGTGACCACAGAACCCATTAGCAGGTGCAGCACTTCACAATGCCAGGATAAGGACCAGAACACACGAGACCCATGTTAACAGACATCGTAAATGTATTGTTCAATGCGCTTTCAGCACGCTTGGCATTCTGGAAAGTACATGTATCTGCTCTTCTGGGAGTTGGATGAGATGTCTTTAAGTTGTACATGAAGCAAAGACAATTCAACAGAACTCAATAGCATACAGGTGCTGTGTAATGTAACTACTGTGTGTCAATATGCAGTATTCACAGTAAAGATCTAAATATATTACATTTTTACTATTCACAAGGGCTAATGGTGGACATGTCAAATTCATAGGATTCCTTTAAGAAAGCATGGCTTTTGGATGTGTCTCCTACACTTTGCATAACATTGAATTACTAAGAAATGTCCGTGGGCAGAATGTCATCACTGGAGCATCCCCATAAAATCAAAAAGAAACAATCTTCAAAGGAATGTCAGTATAAATACAGGATAACGTATAAATATCAAAACAAAAAATAAACAACTGGCCTGGGAATAGAAAGGGTGACATTTGTGAGGATAAATACAGATTACATATTTTTCATTTGTCTGAAAAACTGGTGTTGACTTTTGTTGGAGCATATTAATATCTGTCTACAGCTTTCATCGAATAACCAATTAATAATACTTAAAAAGGGGAAACTTGTATACAATTCTTATAAACAGTTGTTGCAAACAAGGCACAGTTTGTCGATGAATATCGATAAGACCCAAGGTTTTTCAAAAACATTAATTTCTCTCCATATTCTGTGAATAAATACAGCTAATAGTGAGAAAGCTTATTAAAATAAGATTGTTCAAAGGAATGGCGAGCATCTCTACCCATGTATTGGAAGCTCGAGTAAACGGACTAAAATGTGTTCAGCTGGAGTTGGGCAGTGAAATCATTTCGTCATATTTACATCATTGGATGGACTCATTACATAATACATTGTGTCCCTCCCACTGACAAAATGCACAGACGTCAACTTGTCTCTGTCAGTACGGATAGTTATATATTTACATCATCCATCTAATTCCCCTTGTAATCTTTTTCATTTCTTTTCCAGTAATCCAAACAGACATAAATTATAAAATAATCAATGTTCTTCAAAATGTGTCTTCAAGTCTAGGTGGCGTAACACTGATATTGCATAGTGTTGGTATAAAGCACAGACTTACTGCCATGTGGCGCATCGTTGTCCAGGCACATATGGTGACAATCTTATCTTGGGAATGGGAACAGATACTTTAGAGACAATTCTACAGTTCAGTGTCTCTTAATGTAGATTCAAAGAGTCCTTCATATCACAGCCCACTGTTTAAAAAAAGCCCCCTGTGGCCCCTACTGAAGCTGGTGATAGTCAATGGTTCTTTGGTGGGGGGCAGCGGAGGGCCAGCATCAGGGGCTCTCCTTCACCAGTGCTCCAGGTGAAGGTCCATGGCAGAGTTCAGGTTAATGTCTGTGACATCCAGGAACTCTGTGTTGAAGATGTTGGGGCCATTGGGCGGAGCCATACTGAAGGCGGTGGCAGAGCTGGGGGGGGTCAGGTCCAGCCACTCCATGGCCTCCCACGGTGTCTCGCTGAAAGTCATGCTGACCATCCCCTGCACCTCGGAGATAGAGGAAACTTTGGTGCTGATGGGCGACAGAGGCGTGTCTATCAGATCTCTGTTGGTCACATGTTTGTCCTGGGGGGAGTGGTGAGGGCGGCGGTGGGGGTTGTGGGGGCTGCTGTACCCATTGCCTTCTCTGTTTGGTTCATCGTCCTGCCCCCCGTCCTCCGCAGACATTTTAAGAAGGGCCACCTCCCCACCTCGGACTATGGGACTCCCGAGCAGATTCTCCAAGTGGCTCTCGGCGATGTGATTGGCCGAGTGGTCGTAAGGGAGCTGGTTTGGGGGCAGTTGTTCGTAGTGTCTGTGGAACCGTGGGATGAGGAGGCCGGGACACCCTGGGGACACAGTAATGTGAGGGACAACTTTGGTTACAGAGGCCCTCTCCCTCTCTTCTCTGGCGTTAGCTGGCATCTCTATCAGAGAAAGAGGAGAGGGGGGAGGGTCACAGCAGGTACTGGGCTCCCATACCAATGTGATGTCACACCCACTGCATGGCAGGGCTAGCTATGCTAACAGTTCTGTGTTCTAGCTTACCTCCGCTCTCTATGAGCACGTCCAAGAGTTCGTCCATCTGCTGACTTCTGGTCAGTTGCTGTAACAGAAGGAAAGTGTTGTTGGTTTTAGCAAAAAACTATGTTTTAACAATTGAAAATGTAATGCAGTTACATTGAAGCCTTTTACATGAAACATGTAAGCTTTTTAAGCGTTCTGCAAGGACTTGCAGAGAAGAGTTTTGGTAATACAAACAGACCAGTTTTTGGTTGTGGTAAAACTTAAGGCAAAAACATTTTTCAATGACAGGTCAAACTAAACTTGCTGGTGGACAAAGTGTTTGCAAGAGAAAGTGTTTCTAAATGACCTACCTGCTGATATATCAGCCGAGCCTCCACATGTTCATGTAGCTCTAACTCAACTAGTAACAGTTAGTTCAAACACTGTGTGTACGTCAGCTATTGGCTTCAGTCACTTGGTGATTGGAGTGTTTGAACAAAGCAAATGGATGAATGAAAAAAGGTGCAATACAGGTGATGGACTGAAACAGAAAAAAGAGGTGATGGGTGGAAAAGGGGAATCAGAGCAACGCTGATAGGTCAAATAGAATCTCTGGCCAGCCATTATCCACTGAACGTCAGCATGAGTTTCAGTTTACCTGCTTCACTGCATCCTCATAGCATGGGGGCTGTCTTAAGTCTGATGCATCTGAATCTGAGCTACTGAAGGCGGGGGGGCAGACCTGGCACTTTGGGCCAACATGCCGAGGAGAGGGCAATACTGACATCTATATGAGACATAGGTGAAAATGACGTTAGCCCAACAATTAGAATAGGGAAACTTAGCAAACGTGAGTGTATTGCCCATTTCAAAAAAATAAGTCAAATGAATAAATAGAAATCAGGCCCTCAGGATCAAATACTTGTGTCACATTAAAGATTTTGTTTTGATAACATGGTTGGCGTTGTCTTGTTGTAAAGGAAAAGTCACCATCATGTGAGGGAACAGAGAGAGTGACAGAACTGTAGAGACACATCACAAATGAAAGAGAGGGAAATGTCAGCTGATTCTGTTCATGCTCAGCGTTTACCTTGGGCTGCAGGGGGTGGGGCTCCGGTCGGGCCGGATCACAGGAAGGGGGGGGGTGGAAGACTCCCTGAAGGGCTTGCTGCTCAGAGGGGTACGGAAACCCCCCTGCCTGGACACCACTCTTCTGCTGCATCTGTAGGAAGGAGCAGGTACATGGAACCATGAAAAAACTATACATACAAAATGATACCCATAAATATGAGGAGATCAAAATACAAAAGAGATATATATATATATATATATGAAGGCAACATCAGAGATATAGTAGACATTTGGCTTGTTTTCCACAGAATGATTAGTAATGATGATCAGCATCATCTGGTCAACATGTTCATTTATCCAATATGTAATCAAGGGTTAACGTTTGCTAATTAACTTAAAGAGATAACTCAACTAAGATGGCAAACAGGCTTCACCTGCAGTACAAATTGTATTGCATATCAATTAGGGCCGGGACTTTAACGCGTTAATTAAGATTAATTAATTACACAACAATTAACGCGTTAAAAAAATTAACGCATTTTAATCGCACTTATTTTTGCACCGCGGAACGTTTCTCACTGGATGAGTTTCAGGCGTACCGATTATACTGGAGCACCAACTAACGTTCATGACTTCAGACAACAACAAACCACAGTGAACAACAGTGGGAAATGTTGTTTTAAAAAACGGACGGATGGAAGCGTCGATAAGAGCACGGTTGTGTGCAAATTATGCAAAAAGGAATTCGCATATCACCGCAGCACATCAAGCCTCAAGTATCACCTCAATGCAAAACATATAGCAGCTAGCGTGGACGTTAGCCTCTTTTATCGCGTTCACACCAAAAAGAGCCGGTACTAAAATTAGTTCATGAGAACCTTTTTACCCCCACGAAAGTCCCTGCTAGAGAGCAGAGAGCTGCTAGAGAGCAGGGACTTTCGTACGGCTCTCTTGTGAGAAAAGAGCTATATTTCTGATTGGCTGGGCGGATTGCAAACCACGCCCCGTAAAACTCCCAAAAAGTTTTGTGAAGCCGCCATTTTATTATCCTCGCATTAGCATTATTAGCATTAGCCCAGCGCAGAAACGCAGAGAGACTAACTTATGGCAACACAAAATAAAACATGGGAGCGGTGGAGATGAGGAGGTGTCGGCGTTCTGGCGATTTACTCGGAAGGCTGCTGGGACTCCCAGCAGCTTCTACTGAAGCCAGTCCCCCAACTCCGGGGACTTCCGGCCGGGGACTTTGGGCGGCAGTATACGCCGTGAAGTGGTTTGCGGCCTGCCAGTAAACCCAAAGCAGAAGAAGAAGAAGTGACGTCAGCGGCTTAATTTGACTAATCCACCCCCAGGTTCAAAGAGTTCTCGTGAACTAAATTCTCATGAACCTTTGAGGGAAAAGTACTGCGGTGTGAATGCGCCTAATGGTATACTAAAATCCATGTGAAAAAAATTGCTTCTCACTGTTCTTAGGTCAAATATTTATATGTGATTAAAAATGCGAT